CTAAAGAAACAATTTTCGAGCTAAAAACTAAATTGGAAAATTCAAAACTGTTTAAAGATGACCCTGAATTTGTAATGAATATGATAAATTTGTCCATTGAGGATAGACAATCAAAAGCCGAGCAGCAGCTCCAAATAACTAACTCACAACTAGAGCTAGAAAAAATTAAACTGCAACAGATAGACAGAGAAATTGAACTTCAAAAGGCGAAAGCTGAAGGGAATGTAACCCAGAAAAGTTTACAGGGGGAAACTAATTATTTAGAAAATTTAATTAAAAGTATAAAAACATTAACGATACAAATCCCAACAAAACCTGAAAATTTTGGTCTTTTTTTTCAATCGATAGAACGAGCATTCAAAATTAAAAATGTTCCGGATGACTTAAAATCAGAAATCCTGATTAATATTCTTGGTGAGAGGGCACATAACATTTTACTATACGTAAAAGATGACGAAATCAAAAATTATGAGTTAGTCAAATCATTAGTTTTAAGAGAATTCCAACCCACTGCTCAGGAATGCTTACTTAATTTTAGAAAAGCCAAAAAGCAAACAGATGAAACTCATGTACAATTCGCTACTCGTTTAAGTGCTATGTTTCAATATTACCTAAAAATTAGGAACGTTAATGATTTTAAATCCCTATTTGACTTAATGGTCAGTGATAAAATCTTAAACACTTTAGATCTAGAAACTGCTTCACATATTAAAATTTTGCAGGCGGATTCATGGCTTGTGCCAGATGAGCTAGGAAAAGCTTGCGATATATTTTTTATTTCGAAAAACAGATCACTGCATGAATCGCGAAACCATAACAATGTTAAGAGTAAAAACGATAATGATGCTTACATTAAAAACCGCGCGAACATAGTAAATACTAATTATTTCCAGAGACAGTTCCCAAAACATAACCAAAGGGTAAAACAAGAAAAAATAATCTCGTGTTATGTGTGTGGAGGGCCGCATTTTGCTAGAAATTGTGCGAAAAAAACGGCGAAGTCAGAAAATAAATATAAAAGTGTAGGGCATACCATAAACCAAATTAAAACTATTTCTAATCAAAATGACTTTTTGTTTAATGAATTACAGTATGTAGACGTAATTGTTGATGATATCCCATTAATTGCCACTTTGGATAGTGGAGCCAACTCAGTTATCATAAATAAAAAGTACGTTTCAGCGAAAAAAAGAGTGCATTCTCAAATCACCCTAACCAGTTGTTTTGGCGAACGGAGGATTGCAAACGTTTCAGAATTTACAATCTCATTGAAAGGGGGGGAAACACAAACCATCCCCGCGGCAGTGTGCGAGATCGAGGCAGAAATATTATTACCCTTAAGAGTTTATGAGTTCTTGAAAAGTGGATCAGAGGAAGCAAGGTCAAATGTTAGAATATGCAATCCGGTATGTTTAAAGGATGGAATAGTGGGGGAACAGCAGATTGATGAGTCAGGATGTTTAGTTAATTCTGAGAGGATTATGGATAAGTCTAATTTGTTTTTGCTAAAGGTATCTGAGGCATACGATGAATGTACATATGATTTATCGCATATCTCGAATAGTAGATTAAGAAGTCAAGTACATACACTAATAAAACATTACAAACCAAATAAAACGAAATCTACTGCTTTGAAAATGAAAATAATTTTGTCAGATGAAAAACCCATTTGTCAAAGGTCACGTAGGCTATCTTTACTTGAAAAGCGCGAGGTTGAAAAACAAATAGAGCTGTGGTTAGCACAGGGAATAATTAAAGAAAGTTGTTCAGATTTTTCGTCTCCTATTGTGGTGTGTAAGAAGAAAGATGGAACGATGCGTTTGTGTATTGATTATAGAAAGCTAAATAAAAAAATAATCAGGGACAGATATCCACTTCCTGTAATTGAAGAGGTATTAGATAAATTAGGGAACGGTGGAGTATTTTCGACGCTAGATTTAAAGAATGCATTTTTTCATGTAGATGTTGATGAAACAAGCAGAAAATACACCGCGTTTGTAACAGAAACAGGTCAATATGAATTTTTGAAAGTGCCATTCGGTTTATCTATTAGCAGTAACTATTTCCAAAGATACATTAATTACGTGTTTAGAGACTTATTAAGAGACGGTACTTTAATTATTTATTTAGATGATATAATAATTCCGGCAATAGATGAAAAAGAAGCTTATGAAAAATTAACTCATGTGTTAGAAATCGCTTCCAAATACGGCCTTGAATTAAATCTAAAAAAATGTCAGTTCTTGCAAAGGAAAATTAATTTTTTAGGGCATATAATTCAGAACGGTACAATTCAACCTTCATCGGAAAAGACAGTAGCAGTCTGTAACTTTCCAGAACCTAAAAATGCGAAAGATGTTCAAAGTTTTCTTGGATTAACAGGGTATTTCAGAAAATATATTCCTTCATACGCTATAATAGCCAGACCCCTTAGTGATTTATTGCGAGGAACAAAACCTTTTGAATTTAATCATGAACAAAAAATAGCTTTTCAAAATCTAAAGAACGCGTTATCAAATGAACCTGTATTGCATCTTTTCAAGGAAGGCGCGAAGTTAGAGCTGCATACAGATGCATGTAAACTCGGTTTAGGTGCTGTGCTTTTACAACAAAGTGAAGATGGAAATTTCTATCCAATCCATTATATGAGCAAAAAGACTTCCATTCAAGAAGAGAAATTGTGCAGTTATGAACTAGAAGTACTGGCGGTTGTCGAGGCTCTGAAAAAATTTCGAAACTATCTCCTGGGAAGAAAATTCCTAATTCGAACGGATTGTGCAGCATTTGCGAAAACTCTAGACAAGAAAGAGTTGACACCAAAGATTGCTAGATGGTCGATTTTTCTACAAGAATTTGATTACGAGGTAGTCCATCGTCCTGCAAAACAAATGCAACACGTAGATGCGTTGAGCAGACATCCCATTATGCTAGTGACTAGTGATGAATTGACACACAAGATTGTGAACGCTCAGGAAACTGATGAGTATATTAGAACCATTAAGCAGCTGTTGCATGAAGGCAAAACTACTGAATTCACCATAAAGAATAATATTTTATTTAAACTTAGTGAAGATCAAGAACTGTTAGTTGTGCCAGAAATGATGCAAGTAGATGTGGTGAAGAAAGCTCATTCGTTTGGACATTTTGCTGTGGCAAAGACAGAAGACTTGGTGAAAAGAGACTATTATTTTCCGAATATGAGGAAGTGTATAGAAAACGTACTAAAAAACTGTGTAGAATGCATATTGGTCAATAAGAAGAGAGGAAAGGGAGAAGGTTTTTTACACCCTATTCCAAAAGAAGATCTGCCGTTGTCGACATATCACGTAGACTTCATTGGACCATTGCCAACGACCAACAAAAATTATAATCACATATTTACTGTAATTGACGCATTTACTAAATTTACTTGGTTATACCCAACCAAAAGTACAACAGCTCGAGAAGCCATTGAAAGACTAAAGTTGCAACAAAAAACTTTTGGGAATCCTTCACGTATAATTAATGACAAAGGAGGAGCATTTAGATCGAAGGAATTCGAAGACTACTGTGCTGAGGAGAAGATTAGTAATATTCAAATAACGACGGGAGTACCAAGGGGGAACGGACAAGTTGAAAGAATCCATGGAGTGCTGATTCCAGTGTTGACGAAGATGTCCATTCAAGACCCGACTAAGTGGTTCAAGCATGTCGATTCACTACAACGTGTATTGAACAGTGTACCTTCACGCAGTACAAAATATTCGCCATTTGAATTACTAATAGGAATCAAGATGAAGAATCCTGAAGACGTCATGATAAGAAATTTGCTTGAAGAAGAGAGTCAAAATCAACTATGTCAACATCGTGTAAACCTTAGAAGAGAAGCAAAGCAAAACATTTTGAAGATACAAGAGGAAAACAGGAGAACTTACAATCGAAAGCGGAAAAAAGCTCACCAGTATAAGCAAGGAGAGTTGGTAGCAATCATGAGGACTCAGTTTGGAAACAAATTGAAACTGCGACCAAAGTATTTTGGACCCTACCAAGTGACTAGAGTAAAACTCCATGACCGATATGATGTTGCTAAAATTGGAGACCATGAGGGGCCAAATGTAACGTCCGCATCAGCAGACCAGATGAAGCCTTGGTCTAAGCACTAATGAAGAAGAAGAACGAACTTGTATAAGATATTTGTGTAACTGTATACTAATCTATGTTCTTTTTTTGTTTTTTTTTAGTTTGTATATTTCAGATCCTTAGTGCGTGAGCAGTGAGGACACTGCCTGTAGGATGCCCGAGAAGTTGTGGGAATTTCCACATAGACGGCACTATAGAGGGCGCTGGCGACGCGAGCCACCAGCGAGCGAACTAACTAGAGAGAGATTAGCGAGCGAGAGGTCTAGACGAGGAGGTCAGAGCCAACGCTGCTAAGAAAAAAGGAAAGCAACCGGGATCTAACTGGCCGTGTAGGGACCAAGTGACCCGATGCTGGAAGGATAGTCACGTGAAGGTGACACATCCATCGCCTGAATTCAATAAGTGAACAGGAACTGAATAAGAACATCCATCATCTGAATGTCATACACCGTTGTGAACCGTGGTGTGATAATTGTTAAGTGAAAAGACTGAGAAACTATTATTGAATAAGAGAAGAAATAATCGAAACGCTGTCAAGAATATATCTGTATAGTAGAGTGTAGTAATGTAATTGTCCACATTAAACGTTAGTATTAGTTAAAAACAGAGTAATCATTGTGAATACCCCTAGAACTCCGTGTCATAACCCCACATATATATATATATATAATATCTTGTTCAAATTTTCAGTCGTTAATAAAGTACTTTCTATTCACCCACTCAAGTTCAAATGCATTTTTTATACTTGTAGTGGATGACACTTAATGTTAATGCTGTTTTTTTCAAATATTAATTCATTAATTAAATTAAAAAATAAATAAATAGTAACAAGCAAAAATAATAGTCCATCAAAATATACAGAAAGTAAAATCGTTCGTTATGTTCCTGTAGCGCAACGGATAGCGCGTTGGACTTCTAATCCAAATGTTGTGGGTTCGAATCCTACCTGGGATAGCCGAATTTCTGCGATTGTGATTTCTTTTTTACTATTCTATTTTATTAGAATAATTTAATTTAATGAATGAATAAACAGTAACAGACAAAAAAAAAATAGTCCAACACTCTATATAGAAAGGAGACTGGAATTTTATTTTTTGCAAGGAAAATCACCTTTTATTTGTCATTTAATATTGTGATTCTGTCATATGTATATTTATATTAATGCCATATTTATATTAATTGTAACTATTTAATAAAAAGTAACAAATACAATTTTTCTTTGTTTTGAGCTAAGTAGGAATTGACATAAAATTTTTTTTGTCATATAATTGTTTTTGATACGGAATAGACAATGGAATTTATTTGCAATGATCTGCTAAATTCACGATTATTCTGATTGGTTAGTTAGAAAAAACACGTCATGTTAGAGAAGCACTTATTAGTGATTGATGTCATTTTAAATCGTCGCTCATAAGACGAGAACGAAAACTGAGATAGAATCTCATTCACTTTATTTCCACACAACGCCTTCTTGAAATAAATAAGCAGCAGTTTTCATTATTCGGAGCAACTCAACTCGAATATCATGGTCCATGAGTTCACATTTATAACATGTTCGGTTTTTTTATATGATCATCTTTATTTCTCCATATTCCATGAGCCCTCATTCAAATCATAAGGACTTAGCTACCATGGCCATATCAACACTCCCGAGATAGAGCAATAATGAGGTTGACCTCTATTTTGATTACCAAAAAATCCGGTGTATAACGCGCACTTTGAACGCAAAAATTAAGATCGAAATTTACGGGGGCGCGTTATACGTCGGGCATAAAAATGAGAGCTTGTAGTGCCTGTCGGTTCCTGCTTCCCTCTGAACCCTCTTGTCTACCCTGGGGATAATAATACGGACCCTCAACTGATGCCTAACTTAAACTAGCTGAATATAATTACGTCGCCCACTAATAAACTAAACTTCTATTTAAATAAGGATCACAATACCTGTACTTTTATGAAGTCAAGTCCTACACTTCAGTCCTTGAAGACGATTCTTATCCGGATTTAATCCCCGTCCATAGATCCTCTCTCAGCAATCTTCAATTGATAAACTCCGATTGCACTTAATCATTTCTCGATCCTTCACTCTCCAACTAACTCTTAAAACTCGCGAATACAGAATTTATATAATATACTTAATTTGCATAATCACGCTTTCTTCACTCGGTGAAAGTTATTATCCCCAGGCTAATGAGTCTCACCTAAGCGCTCTGCTATCTGATCTGTTATCTTAATTAGATTTTTATTGTGTCTGCTTGATATTTTGGTGACAATAAAATAATTAGAGTGAATCATGCCTACTGATTATTCAGTTTCTCCCACACAACTAGCCGGGTCCGAGGGTAGACAAGGGGGTTCAGAGTCAAGCAAGAACCGACAGGCATTACAAATTTTTTTGTCGGAATATTTTTTTTATTTCTATGGGGCTACTGCAGATTGGTGTTTTACCATTATAGACCTAGTACATTCCCCGGAAGCTGGTATCTCTTTTTAGTGCGGCACCCTATAGGCGGATACCAATTACAGCAAGCAATTTGACGCCCAGTTTTCTCCACAGAGGGAGCCACCTGAGCTATCACGATGCGATCCTGTACTAGAATTTAATTTTGCCGAGAACACCCAAGCCAAACAGACACCCTAGGGATCTTTTACATGCCGTATAATCATACTACATTGCCCCTGTCCATTTTCTGCATCATGAAAATCCACCGACTTGGACCGCGTTCGAACCCACAACCTTAGATCCAGAAGGCTAGAAACAAACTAACCACACCAAGCCTGCTTTTTATCGGAACATTGTCTCTTTTTAAAAAAAAAGAGAAATTCAAGAAAAGTTTATGCTATTCATTTTGTATTCAAGATTAATCACACACGAGTGTATCAGTCACGTTTCTCTTTAATTTATGTCTCTCGGGCAATAATTAATACAGTCAATTATCCCCATTCTCATTTTAGATTTAAAAAGGAACATATCTCAGTCACACCTTCGACTTGTGTCTTAAATATATATTAAGCACAATGCTGAGTGCGTATTATGTATTGCTTTAATATATAATGAAGTAATATAATGAGTAAATATATAAGGAATCATTGATAAACAAAGCTTATAGTTTAGGTGTTAGATAATTTAAGAGGAAGGTTGTAATGCCGGACGGTTCCTGCTTCCCTCTGAAACCCCTTGTCTACCCGCAGACCCGGCTAGGTGTGTGGGAGAAACTGAATAATCAACAGACATAATTTCACACTAACTATTTTATTCTTACCAAATTATCAAGCAGACACAATAACAATCTAATTAAGATAGCTGATCAAATAGTAGAGTGCGGAGGTGAGATTCAATAAAACGGGGATAGTAATACGTACCCTCAACTGATTCCACGATAGCTTAAACACGCTCAATATAAACTACGTCGCACACTGATAAGCTAACTTCTAATTAAACAAGGCTCTCGATACCTGTACTTTTATGAAGTGGATCCTACACTTGAACCTTTGCAGGAGATCCTTATCTGGATTTAATCACTGTCGATTGATGCACTCTCAGTAATCATTTTCATGGATAAACTTTAATCTCTTAATAATTCCACGATCCTTCACTCTTCAACTAACAAACTAACTCGCCAACCCTTCAACTCGCGAATACAGAATTTATATACTATACTTCATTTGCATAATCACGCTTCCTTACTCGGTGAAAGTTGGTTGAAATAAATATTTTTCCCCTGAAGAATCCCCAAGGAATTACTAGAGCCGCGAATAGATCCGTCACACAAGGTGACAAGATTAAGTAAAAAACTTATGAAAGCCTACAAAATGAGGTAGAGTGCAGCAAAGGAATAAAACTCAAAATTCGTTTTTGATGTCATAGCAAAATGGCGAGAGATATCATTCAATGATAGAACGAGAAGCTGAAAATCATCTTTTACGAATTATTTTAATGACTTTCCGATTCAACATTTCACTTCTTTCGCATATACTGATTTCATGATCCATGCATGATTTAGTTGTTTATATGCACTGACGGGGGGGAAAATATCCCAACACCAAGAAAAAGTTATTGTAGAGTAATGAAAGTTCCGCAATGCAATAGTCTAGTTAACATGTTTAATTGGTTTAATTTTCAAGATCACAAGTTCAAGAAAATGCATTTCAA